CAAGACCCAGTGCTGTCTATAAGAAATCCACTTCAAATACAAATATAAATAAATATAAGTATAAATATAAATATTTAAATAGTTTAAAAGGAAAAGAAAAAACATCTGCTTCCCATCTGAAATGTAAAGAGCTTGGAAATGTCACTCTCATCCTCATAATAACAATGAAAAGAAGCCAAACCTACTGAAAATCAATAATACTTCTTAGGTCCAAAAGAGAATTGAGGTCACAGGGCAAACCACCACCCAGGAAACTAAAAAATCACAGAGAATCCCAGCTTACCAGAAGACGCAAATGCTGCTCCAGTAAGCAACTGGTTGGAAAACTTAAAGAGTAACTGACTAAATTGCTGGCAACTAAGTGTGGACTAGGTTGAGAGATTAAAAACTCCTAGAAGCCCAGCCTTGCGAAGAGCTCCACCTTTTCATGAATTTTACCTCTAGGAGCCCCACTAGGGCCCCTTCAAGGTAAAGATCAAAGAAAATTCTCCAGTACTTCCTGCAGAAGTAGGGGGAAAGTAATAACCACTGTGAAATACACCCAGAGCATTCTGCTCTCCTTAACAAAGATCTGTCTTCTAGGAAAACTGTTTTAGAGTCCAACCAACATGAGTTTTATCAGAGCCTAACTGACACAGGGGAAGAAAAATACCCAACTCCAGACTCCTGTAGCTTTCCAGTCTCCCACATAAATGAGGGGTAGGGAAAGCTGAGAAGCACTCGTAAAGGTCAGAGCCATGGACACAGACCTACAAAAGACTAAGATCTAGTCACAGGACTATTGAACATTTCTGTTCCCCCTACAACTGACCATCATATCAACAGGGCTCCTATATAATATCAGGAGGTTACAATTCAAAGAATTATGAGCTTAGACTCCATTTAATGAGTCTCTAGGGAAACCCAAAAATAACAAGGAAAACTAAAACAAAGACACCTAAAAAATTTTAAATTCCGAATCTTAGCCTTTATCCATCAGGCAGAAAATCAGTAAGGATATAGCTGAACTGAATAGCACCATCAATCTGCTTGATCAAATTGACACTTATTGATTAGTTTATCAGGTGGCAACAGAATATGAAAGCTTCTCAAGAATACACAATTCTGGTCATGCTCATGTATAGCATTCACAAAGATGGACCACATTCTGGCCTATAAACTATACATAAAAATTTTAAAGAATAGATCATACAAATAGGCTCTCAAGCCACAACAAAATTAAACTAGAAATCACTAACAGAGAACTCTGGAAAATTCCAAAATATTTGGAGATTGAACAACTTAGGAATCAAGGAAGAAGTATCAAAAGAAACTGAAATATTTGAAATGGAATGCAAATGAAAATAAAACTTAACCAAAAAATTATAGAATGCAGTAAGAGCAGTGCTTACAGAGAAATTTATAGCATCAAGTATGTACATTAGAAGAGAGATTTAGAATCAGTAATATTACTTTTTACCTTAAAAACCAAGAAAAAGAAAAGCAAATTAAACCCAAATAAGCAGAAGAAATAATAGCAATCAGAGCAGAAACCAATGAAACTGAAAACAGGTAACATAATAGAGGAAAAATTCACTGAAACCACACGCTGGTTCTTTGAAAGGTCAATAAAATCAATAAACCTCCAGCCAGGCTAAGCAAGAAAAAAAGAGAGAAGACACAAATTACCGGTATCATTAACAAAAGAGGAGTCATGCCTACTAATCACATGGATTACAAAAAGAAAACTAAGAGTATTACAGGCAATTATATACCCACAAATTTGAACAATCTTAAATAAAACAGACCACTTCTTTGAAAGAGACAATCTAACAAAAGTCTCACAAGGAGAAATCGATCATCTGAACAGGTGTAGCACAGAGCCTGACGCGGGGCTGGAACCCACGAACCATGAGATCATGACCTGAGCCAAAGTTGGATATTTAACCAACTGAGCCACCCAGGCGCCCCCAGGGCTAGGTGGTTTCACTTGTAACTTCTATCAAACATGTAAAGAAGAAATAATACCAACTCTCTACAATCTCTTCCAGAAAACAGAAGCAGAGAAAATATTTCCTAATGCATTCTATGAAGGCAGCATTACCAAAAACCAAAACCAGACAAAGGCATTCAAAGAAAGTTAAAGAACAGTATCTCTCACAAACACAGATGCAAAAATCCTCAAGAAAATATTAGCAAGAGGAAACCATGTATAAAAAAAAAATTATAAACCACAACTAAGTGGGATTTATTCCATGCATGCAAAATTGGTTCAACATTCCAAAATCAATTAATGTAATCCATCATACAGGCTAAAGGAAAAAAAAACATATGATCATATCAACAGATACAGAGAAAGCATCAGACAAAATCCAACACCCATTCAACATGAAATCTACCAACAAACTAGGAATACAAAGGAACTTCCTCAACTTTATGTATCTATGAAAAAACCAACAGCTAACACCATACTTAATGGTGAGAAACTAAGAGCTTCCTTACTGAGATCAAAAATAAAACAAGGATGTCCCTTCTCACCATTCCCATGCAATGTTATAGGAGAAGCCTTAGCTAACACAGTAAGACAGGAAAAGGAAATAAAAGGTATAGATTGGGAAGGAAGAAATAAAAACAAATTCTACCCCTACAAATTCTACAGGATTTTACTCCTAAGAATTTACCCCTCCAAAATGAAACATACATCCACACAAAAACATGTAATGAATGCTTATAGCAGCTTATCCATAATCACCAAATATGACGAGTAATTTTAGTTAACTATTGTTACATAACAATTACCACCAAAACTTAGCAGCTTAAAACTTACAATTTCTATGAGACAGAAATTTGGGAGGAACTTGATTGAGCACTTTGGTTCAGGAATGTTCAGAAGTGTACAGTCAACTTATCTAAACCAATGAATTATCTGAAATCTTGACTGGGGCTGGAGGATCCATTCTAAGAGAGTTTGCTCATATGGCTGTTGACAAGAAACCTCAGTTCCTCATTGGCTACTGTCAGGAGGCCAAGGTTCCTTGCCACACAAACCTCTTCACCAGGCCCTTCTTTCCTCACAAAACGGCAGCTGACTTTCCTGAGTGAGTGACCAAAACAAGAATGAGGCATAGTCACAATGTCTTTTTTCAACCTAATCTCAGAAGTCACCTCTGCCATATTCTATCAGTTCCTGAGACCAATCCTGACACACTGCAGAAGAAGTCAACAGAAAGCATGAATACCAGGAGACAAGGATCACTGGGACCATTTTAGAAGCTGGCTACCACAAACCTAAATGTCCACTAACTGGTGAATAGATCAACAAAGTATGATATAACTATACAGTGGCATACAGTAATCAGCAATAAAAAGGAACAAACTACTGATAACATGTAACAGCATGGAAAAACTCACAAATGCTAAGTGAAAAAGCCAGACCCAAAAAGCTTCATACAATGTAATTACACTTACATGGCATTCCGGGAAAGGCATAACCAAAGGGATTGTCAGGAGATCAAACAGATCAAAGGTTGTCAGGAGCTGGGAAGGGGGACAGAAGACTGACTACAAAGGGGCATGAGGGAATTTCTTTGCATAATGGAAATACTCTATATTTGATTGTGATGACTGTATCAATTTGTTAAAATTCATACAACTATACACCTAAAAAGGGTAACTTTTATTGTAAATAAATTATACCTCAAAAATTACTTACAAAGAGAGAGAGAAAGGAATCCTAAGAGGAAACAAGAGGCTTGATTGGGAATATTATACACTTGCTATATAGTTCCAGGTGTGCAGTAGTCCTTATGTGTAAATAGCAAATTTCCAAAGGAAACTTTGGAAAATGTTATTAAACCAATAAAATTATAATGTTCCTCAAGCTAAAAAACTTTCTCTGAGCTTAAGTCTACAGATTGAAAATGTGCATCAAATTACAAGTTAGACAGATGAGAAAACATAAACATGTATCCTGACATATCCTGGCAAAAGTCTTGAACTTTAAGATAGAAAAGTTTAGGGGCTCCTGGGTGGCTCAGTTGGTTGAGGATCTGACTTTGGCTCAGGTCATGATCTCATAGTTTATGGGTTTGAGCCCCACATGAGGCTCTGTGCTGACAGCTCAAAACCTGGAGCCTGCTTCAAATTCTGTGTCTCCCTCTCTCTCTGCCCCTCACTCACCTTCGTGCACGCATGCTCTCTCTCAAAAATAAGTAAACATTAAAAAAAAAAAAGAATAGAAAAGTTTAAATGCTTCAAAAAAGAAAGAACAAGTTACTTAGAAAAAAAGAGAGACAAGTATAGGCCTTCTTCTTTGCAACAAAAAAGAAATGATGAAATTATACCTCAAATTTTTGAGAAAAGGGCCACCACCCAAAAATTCTACCTCAATCAAGAGTAAAATAAAAAATAAAACTTTTTAAAAGAAAAAGGGGTGCCTGGGTGGCTCACTTGGTTGGGCATCTGACTTCTGATTTCAGCTCAGGTCATGATCTCAGCAGTTTGTGAATTTGAGCCCTCCATCAGGCTCTGTGCTGACGGTGCAGCACCTGCTGTGGATTCTCTCTCTTCCTCTCTCTCTGCCCACACCACTCAAGTGTGCTCGCTCATGCTCTCTCTGTCTCTCTCTCTCTCATGAATAAATTAAAAAATAAAACATAATCACTTTAAAAAAAAAAGTAAAACAAAGTTACCTAAGAAATAAACAATGATTCAAAAAATGTTATCACCCACTTATCCCATCTAGAGAGACAGCCAACAAAGAAAATGCTCACCAAATAACTAAATCATTGCAGGGATAGAGGAGGATAAAAGAAGAGACCTTATGAAACATGCAGTTAACTTGAAGTGGAATTAGTAAAGCAACTGAGAAGAGATATATAGCAAATGAAAACTCATTTTAAATTTTAAAATTAAAATAAACCACCCAAACAAAAAAGAATATTAAAGTCAGCCCAGTATACAAGGAAACTGTAAGTTGTTACAACAAACAACTTTTTGGTTTTTGCTTTGTTTTGTTTTACCTGGTTTGCACGATGAGAGTGACCAAACGGCTTGTGACCCAATTTCCCGTACTGTTCCAGTCCTTTCCAACTGCTTAGGGTCAGCACCAGGAGGTGTCTTGTTTGGTGTGGTCATTTTAAAAATATTCTACAAAGAAAACAAGAATATCCACATTATACTAGGACCTGAACATCTTTCTACAAAAAGTAAAAATTAAAATTTAGTAACAAAATGGATCACTACTCTTGATATTAATCATCTGTTTCTCCCAACCAAGTACTAACCAGGCCCGACCCTGCTTAGCTTCTGAGACCAGACGAGATCGGGTGCGTTCAGGGTGGTATGGCCGTAGACAATCATCTATTTCTCAAATGAAGTTAACATAACTCAATCACTGTGATTAAAAAATTGGAATTCAGTTTTTGTTTCTAAAATATAACATATTATGATTTATAAGATATGCAAAACAGTTGAGTATAATAGTCAAAAGGGCATCAGAGTTTTAACTTGAGCCTCTCCTTTAACTAGCCTAGATGTCGGGCAGGTCTGGGCTTTATTTCCTTACCTGTAAAAGGGGGTTGGCTTGATCTAAAATTCTATAATGCTATACAATTCTATACCTCTAAAATTCTTTTTCTAAAAGGTTTTATTTTTAAGTACTCTCTACACTCAATGTTGGGCTCAAACTCACGACCCCAAGATCAAGTGTCACATGCTTCACCAACTACGCCAGCCAGGTACCCCTCTGAGTAAAAATTCTTAATTCAAATGAATTTTTTTCTTTAGAGAAGTTAAACTGAAATATCCTTATTCCAGGAATATGTAAATATTGGTTTCCATTTTTTATTTATTTATTGAATGTAAATGTGCTTTAATAATTTATCTTTTTATTAAAATATAATTAATATACAGTGTCATATTGGTTCCAGGTGTACACATAAGGATTCAACAGTTTTATACACTTCTCCATGCTCTTAATGCCCTTTATGTCTCACCCATCCTCCCATCCACCTCCCCTCTAGCAACCAATTGTTCTCGTATTTAAGTCTGTTTAATTTTCTGTTTTGTTTCTTAAATTTCACATGAGTGAAATCATATGGTATTTGTCTTTCTCTATAAGACTTATTTCATTTAACCTTATACCCTCCAGCTCCATTCATGTTGTTGCAAATGGCAAGACCACATTCCTTTTTATGGCTAGTATTTCATCATGTGTGCGTTATCTATTTATCTATCTGTGTGTGTGTGTGTGTGTGTGTGTGTGTGTGTGTGTGTGTCTGTATATACTACATTTTCCTTATCTATTTATCCACTGATGGACACTTGTGTTGCTTCCACATCTTGGCTATGGTAAATAATGCTGCAAGGAACAATGGGGTGCATATATCCTTTCAAATTAGTGTTTTTATTTTCTTTGGGTAAATTACCTAGTAGTGGAACTACTGGATTATATGGTAATTCTATTTTTAATTTTTTGAAGAACCTCCATACTGTTTTCCACAGTGGTTACACCAATTCACATTCCTTCCAACAATGCACAAGGGTTCCTTTTTCTCCAGCATCCTTGTTAACACTTATTTCTTGTCTTTTTGATTCTAGCCATTCAGACAAACATAAGGTGATATCTCACAACAGATACACAAAAAGATACTCAACATCATTAATCGTCAGAGAAATGCAAACAAAACCACAATGAAATATTGGTCTCCACTTTAAATAATCCATTAAGTGAAACAGAGAAAAATCACTTCTCTGCCTAAGTTATCAAAAGTTCCATTTATATGTGCTCTTGCCATAAAAGATAATGTCAGAAAAATGGTTTCAAGGCGTGTAAATGAATAACTGACCTATTCTAAACCCAAAAATTTACTGCAACTTTCTCATCTTTTGTTAATCTTGGTAAATCTATGCACATATGAAAAAAAATCTCTGGGGCCCCTGGGTGGCTCAGTTGGTTAAGCATCTGACTCCTGGCTTTGGCTCAGGTCATAATCTCACAGTTTGTGGGTTCAAGCACTGTGCCAGGCTCTCTGCTGACAGCACTGAAACTTCTTGGGATTCTGTCTCCCTCTCTCTGTGCCCCTTCTGTACTTGCTCTCTCTCTCTCTTGAAAATAAACATATAAACATTTAAAAAAATGTTTTTAAAGAAAAAATCTCTGATAGTGAGTATGTAAGACAGCTTACATAGTGCATAGCTACAGATACTGAACATCATTATATATGCTATTATAAACCTGGCCCAGGGTGCCTGGGTGGCTCAGTCAGTTAAGTAACTGACTGTTGATTTCAGCTCAGGTCAGGATCTCACTGTTGATGAGATCGTGAACCGAGTCAGCCTCTGCACTGACAGCAGGGAGCCTGCTTTGGATTCTCTCTCTCTCTCACTCGCTCTTTCTCAAAAATAAAAATAAAATAAAATAAAATAAAACTTAGGACATTTGGGTGGCTCAGTCGGCTAAGCATTGGACTTCAGCTCAGGTCATGATCTCAGATTCATAGGTTCAGGCCCCGTGTCGGCCTCTGAGCTGACAGCCCCAGGCCTGGAGCCTGGTTTAGATTCTGTGTCTCCCTCTGTCTTTGTCCCTTCCCTGGTCATGCTCTGTCTCTCAAAAGATAAAAGAAAAATGTTAGAATAATAATAAACAAATAAATAAACTTAAAAAAAAAAACCTGGCTCAATAGTTCAGTATTCCATCTCCTTGAAACCTTTTAGATCTCAGTTGTTTCCTAATCTCAACACAGCGCTTGATGCTCATTAAATAATAGTAGAGCCATCAGACTGTAAAATTCTGAAAGGCCTGAGGTTTATCTAAGTAAATTGCTAATTGAGCAATGAATAAATGGATGAAAGAATAGGTGCAGTCCTAAGCTAAAGTATTTGCCTTCTTCAATTTAAGTAAGGACTAGGAGACAAGTAAACCTGTGACTAGCACTGCAGCTGAATGTACTGCCGTTGTCAAATATGCAAAAATGTCAAATTGTCAAAAAAAAAAAAAAAAGCCCATAGCTACATACGAGCAGAATTCAACTGTCTGATTTGATACTGGACGCCACCAAGTGGAAAAAACACAGAGCTCGGAAAAGCCTGGGTTCCTGGCCACTCTTTCAAAAGCTGAAGCCAAGGGGAGAACGCCACCGCCAGCAGTACCTGGGCCAGACCCTGTCGACTCTGCTTGATACCCCTACTGAAAACACTGGAATGGGCAAGGGCTCTTCAGCGGCCTTGAGATCGCGAGCGGAAAAGGGGACGGAGAATGGGGATGAGAACGCATCTGCTTACTACAGAACCATTCTCCAGGACAGGGTGGAGGAGGGAAGTTCACGCACTTACAGCTTGCAGACCCGGCTTGCCGCAACCTACCTTTTCAGGATACCCTGCAGCTCGGTGCCACTCCCACTCAGGACAACCCGGCTTTCCCAGCGACGTTAATTTGGAGTCGCAGAACAATGACGTCAGTTCTCGCCGTCTGGCCCTCCCAACGCCAGGACTCCGCCCGTCGCTCCCTGCCGCGCGCGCGCATTACGTCCCTAAGGCATGCGCGAGGCGGTGGCTGAGCACCGCCATTTTGGCCGGCGGCCGTAGGAACACGCTGTGTGGGAGAGAAGTGAAAGGAATAACTTGACTCGGACTCTGACCTGTCCTCCGCAAGGGAATCGTTTTCTCCAGGTACCTGAATAGCCCGGGAGGGTTTGGCCGTTAGCAGTGGTCTCCCACGATGTAAAGACAGTAGGGACGTTGTAGGAGAGCCTTTGGTGAGGCCTCTAGTGTCGGCAGTAGAGGAGGCAACGGCGCGTGGCAGCCGGCTCGGGAGGGACAGCTGGAACCGCCGAAGCGCGGGCGCCGCGGAGGGCTTAGAGGCGCGTCGCGCATCCCTTCCAGCTGACCTGGCTCTTGGCCACTGTTGCCAGCCACCCCCGTCAGGGCCTTCGAGAATGGACTTAGATGCCATTTCAGAGATACAATCTCCACCGTCTCCACTCCCCCTTTACTTCGCTCTTGCCCTATTACAGAGAAGAAGGCAACTTCAGAACTCAAAGCATCGTCTTCCCCCGCCCCCCATCCTTACCCTGACATAGTAAAACGGACATATTGTCACATGTGCGTATTTGATTATAGGAAGTCGTGGCCTTTTCTTCCTCGGCTTTTCTGGTGATTATGGAATGAGTCATAGCATTTTGTCGTCTTTATAGAAACGATGGCCAGTTGTCGCTCTACTTTTCTCATAGAGCAACGTGTTATCCCAAGTAGCCTCCCAGTTGAACGCCTTTAGCTTTTTGGATGCGCTTTATATAAAACACTTGGTACTTTCTTCTTAGTGACTTGCTTCCCCCTCCTTTATATCTTAAATTGCATGAGATCAGGAGCGCATTGGTTCGTACCTTGTAGACACGAAGTCCAAAGCCTATTCCCACATCCTGTAAACTACATAAATCTGTTTTCTCTTTTATTTGTGTATAGCAGTTACTAACAGTGAGAAATAACTGTCAAAACAATGGGGAGAGATGTGAGGGGTTATTTGGGGGTTTTATTTTTGTTTGTTTACCTTCACTTCCACAGTGACTGCTAGCTAAGCATTTATGGTAATGGCATTTGTGTTGCGTTTCTCAGTACATTTGTCTCATAGGCTGAGAATACTCCTCCTATATCAGCTACTTAACAACAGTGCTTTGTCAGTATTAACCAAAGTTTGTATCAAAGAGGGTAGTTTTTTCATGTTAAAAACCTTGTTATCCCCATAAAAAGATTTTTTTTCCAGAAGAACATTTAATACAATTTCTGAGGGGAAAAAAGAAGTATTATTTTGTTGTCCCTTCTAAATGTCTTCAGTGAAGGATTCTGAAATCAGAGTTGTGCACCACTCCCAACTTACATGTTTTATAAGACTAATAACCCACAATAACCATTAAGTTGGAACATTTTATGTGTTACCAAGCATCATTCGTTAAGAGCAATCTTTTAAGTGCTTTCACATGGTATTACAATAATTTTGGTCTTAGACTGCAAAGGCTTTTCTTGATGCCTCACTACCTTTTTTCTTGCTAGCTGGAAGAATGACACTGAGGGTCATTGTTAAGAGTACCTACTTTGAAAACAGTTTGTCTTCAGATCTGAAATATCTTCATATTCCTCTTTGTTTCCAGGAGTCTGTTACTCAAGTCTCCCTCTGGCCCAAGCTTTACAGCGCTGTATCATTCTCATTGAAAAAGTAGGGATATCTCCTTCCCAATTCTTGAAAATAATAGACAAATTTAATCAGTAGAGTTCAAATAAATAACAGTTTTACAAAGAAAATGTATTTCTTATTCTTTTTAAAAAGTTTTAACATTTACTTATTTTTGAGAGACAGAGAGAGAGGAGACACAGAATCTGAAGCAGGCTCCAGGAACTCTGAGCTGTCAGCACAGAGCCTGATGTGGGGCTCGAACCCATGAACTGTGAGATCATGACCTGAGCCGAAGTCGGATGCTTAACCCACTGAGCCACCTAGGCACCCCTTTATTATTCGTAAATGCAGTATAATTTATCACTTTCTTACATAAATCTGCTTATTAATCATCTGGTATGTTTTTGTTTTTCTACAAAAGTCATCTCTTATATTCACTTAGTTTTTAAAAAGGCTTGAAGTATCAATGAAACACTTTAGTAGGTTGACAGAAATAAAGGTTAATGTAAGCAATTTTGTGATGTAAGATTTATCCTTTAGAAGGACTTCATGTCATTCATTCATCAGGTAATTGTACGGTGTCCAGCTTTATTTTAATAGCTAACTAAAGAATCTTTAGTTTTGAGGAAGTTGTCACTTAGAATAAAAGCTTTTTATAGCAATTCAAAAGTTACTTGATTTTTCTCTTTTAGCCTTTATGAAAACTGGACCAGCTTTTAAAGGGGTAAACCATTACCATTCTGTTTATTACATAAACACTTGGTCTCCTTTTGGGTGATTTTTTTTTTCTCAGTACATACTTTAGTGGATAGCTATTGCTATGAAATATTGGTAATTTTCAGTATTTCTGAAATCACTGTAACCTATAGGAAAACTATTTTACTATTTTTAAATTAATTCTCTCATTTATTCAACAGAAATACTTGAGCTTTTATGATATGATGGACATTGGTTTAGCCACTGGGCTGAGCAGACAAGAAATGCCTGCCCTGATGATAGAGTACCTTTAACTTGGGGAGGGAAAAATACTGTGTGTAGAGAGAGAGTATATAAATACATGTATATAGACATATGTACACACATAAACCATATATACACATATGTATGAAATATATATTGTCCAGTATAGTAGACAGTGCTAAGGAGAAAAATAAAGCAAATCAGGAAGGAAAAGACAAGACAGTGGGTGTATTTTTTGGTAGTATAAGTTAGAGAAGGCTCACTGAGAAACATTAAAAATTTGAAGTAGTAAGCCTTGTAACGCCCTAGGGGAAATATCATTACAGGCAGAGGGAATAGAAAGGGCAAGGCCCTGAAGCAAGAACATGTCTGACATGTGCTCTAAGAAGAACAGGAGCCAAGGTGGCTAGATCAAAATGAACAAGAACTAGAGTAGTTGGAGATGAGGTCAGAAAGTATTACAGAGTAATCAGTACCTCATTTGTTATTTTAAGGACTTTGGCTTTTACTCAGAATGAGTAGAGAAGCCATTGCAGGACTTCAAGCAATAGGAGTGACACCATCTGGCTTACATTTTAAAAGGATCACCCTGGAGCCCCTGTGTGGTTCAGTCTGTTTGGCCTGAGTTTGGTTCAAGCCCTGCATTGGAGCTCTGTGCTGACAGCTCAGAGCTTGGAGCCTGCTTTGAATTCTGTGTCTCCCTCTCTCTCCGTACCTCCCCTGCTTTCACTCTGTCTCTCAAAAAATGAAAAATGTTTAAAAGATGGATAAATAAATAAAAGGCTCACTTTTCTGTCATGAGAAGGAACTGTCAAGGGTTGGAGTAGAAGTAGGTAAGAGTAAAGCAGAGAGCCCTGATAGGGAGCTATTAGAGTAATGCAGGTAAGAAATAATGATGGCATAGACCAGAGTGATGAGAAGTGGCCAGATTCATGAAGGTGAAATGGACAAAATTTGCTGCTGTGGCATGTAAAATATAACTTCAAGGATTTGGGCTTGAGTAAACAAGACTAGAGTTGCCATGTAACAATGGGCAAGACTGCTAAAGAAGCAAATTTTGATTGGGACTTCTGGTGTTTAGTTTGGGAGATGTATATTAGACTTTCAGGGAGAGATTTTGTGTAGTCAGGTAGATAAACAAGTTTAGGGCTAGGAGGGGTGTCATGACTAGATAACAGAAATTTGGGACTTAGCAGCATATAAATAGGATTTAAGGCCATGAGATTATAATAAAACACCTTAGAGAATAAATATAGATTTAAAAAAATGTGACAGTATTAGAGCACTCTTCACCTTTCAGAAGCCTAGAAGATAAGGAATAGTGACCAGGAAAATAGGATGAAAACCAGATCAGTACTGTGTCCCAGAACTAAGTTAAGAAAAGGTTTCTATCTAGCAGGAAAAAGTCATATTTTGTGTTAGATGCAATAGGTTGTTCTAGTAAATTAAGAACTGTTAACTATCTGTTTTACCCATGTATAGAACAGTGATGACTGACAAACTGTTTTGGTGGAATGATGGGCACTAAAGTCTGGAATGAGTCCAGAGAAAATACACAGAAATTTGGAACACTAACCTAACTATAGACAACTCTTCCAAGTAGTCTTGCTATAAAAGGAAGGAGGAAGCGCCTGTGTGGCCTAAGCTGGTTAAGCATCCTACCTACTCTTGATTTTGGCTCAAGTCATGATCTCAAGGTTCATGGGATCGAGCTTTGCATTAGACTCTGTGCTGACAACGCAGAACCTGCTTGGGATACTCTCTTTCTCTAAATAAACATTAAAAATAAATAAGTGGAAGGAGAAATAAAACAGTGGAGTCAGGATGGGGTCAGATAATAGAATGCTTGAATGCTGATGAGAATGAACCAGTGTAATAATTGATATGAAGTACAGGAGAGAATTGTTAGAACATTCCCCTTAGTAGATGTCATTTAGTGTGCAAGTGGACTTCACTATAGAAATATATATGTGATTGCTGGTTGTCTGGTTCACTTGAGATGACATTAGCATCTTCAGCTTTATGTGTGCAGGTGAAGAGTTGTATGTAACCAGGATTATAGTTTAGGATATAAATGATTGACGGTGGAATTTTACCTGGGAACAGAGGGACATTGAAGATAGAAGAGCCGAGGGACAGTGGTGATGCAATAGAATCAAGAGATAATGATAGTATTCCTTATCAAAAAAAAAAAAAAAATGGAATACTACATGGCAATGAGAAACAATGAAATCTGGCCATGTGTAGCAACATGGATGGACCTTGAGGGTGTTATGCTGAGCGAAATAAGTCAGGCAGAGAAGGACAAATACCATATGTTTGCACGTATAGGAGGATTAGGAGGAACTTGA